TATAACGATATGCCGGTGGAATGATAGATCGTGATAATTCGCCGTGCCACGAAACTTAAATGATGACTCCTGCAAAGACGGTGCTAAAGTGTCTTTCGATGTCGTGAATCATTTTTTGCACGAATCCCTCGTGCGGAATTAAAATTGATTTTACCCCAATTAAGACTACACTTCCGGTATAGTAAGAGAAATTGTTGGATATGCCGAGCCGCTTTGCTGGTAATGATTGATCTCCCATCACCCGGAAGAGTTCCGGTTCGTTGTTTCAAATCATTCCGATGTTGAGAGGTGCGGAATAATATTTTAAAATTTAGACGCAATGGGGAAACCGTATATATGTGTGCCCATGAGTTAGTCATTATTTTGTGATTAACGTCAGAGCCACGCGGGAACGCCATATTGACCTCTATGCGTTAAATTGTTCATTTAATGCACTTTTTTGTATTGTTGTATCGTTCTGTGTTCATGGTGATCTTTCCAAAGTCAGCCGGCATTAGGTTTAGCAAGGAAGTGTGGATCTTCAGTGTGATATATTGAATAGACGATTAGCAAATATAATTATTGAGAGTAATTATCCTATCTTTCAATAAAGGTTGATTACTGCTGCCTCACAATACCTTTTTAGTTTCGATCTATTTTTTATGCACTACTTCAACATAACCTGCACCATGACCTTCGGCCATGCATTCAGCCGTGCTGGATATTTGGATTTTCTCGCCAGCGCAATCTACAGTAGACTTTCAATTGTGGCCAGTACATATGGTAGTGGTTACCCACAACAAAGCATTAATCCAAATGGGAGAGAATTTGTTCGTCACTATGCTTTAGAGAAAACCTATATGCAGATGTCGGAGAAGTGCTTGACGAAGTTAGTGAATGTCCATAGCGCAAAATGTACTGCGCGCCGTTAATTAAGGGGAACGTCAGGCGCTTTTTTTTTTCTGGGCTATTTACAGGTGGATCTTTTTGAAACTTGGTACACATATGTAAAACAGAAAAAAATACGGCTTATATTCACGTAAATTTTTTCTGAAAATATGAAAGTAAACGTGAAATTCGCAGAAAACGGCCAAAAAGGGGTACTGTAGAAATCTCCTCCTAGGATTAAACAACCCAAATAATGCTCGATAGAAAAAAAATTGCTCGCACGCGAGTAATTATCTAACCAATACCAATGTCTATCGAATAGCTATGATTTCTGGCTAAACGCCTTGTTTACCTCTCGAAATTAAACATAAACAGCTGGCAGGTCGTATTGTTAATATTCCTATGGAGAGAAAGTCATTTCCCGGTAAATCATACTTACAGATACAACAAATATCAGTCATCAAGCTTATTCGTTTCAGAAGGCAAAGATAATTGCATACATCTGCATTTGGAATAAATTAATAAATTGAACATCTAGTGTCCATAGAGTACTGCACTCGTTTTGGTTCAATTCGAGGCTCTGATCAGATTGGAATTTTGTATTAGAGATAATTTTATCCAAGTATGCGCATAGCACCAAAACCGTCAGCAGGTCTATTATAGGGAGGCTTCAGCTCCCCTGAATAATTGACCGTTTATTTATCAATAATATTATAATTTTTTGACGAAAATTTCAATGAAATATTGCCTGAATTTGAGTTTGTATATTCAATGTCATGTTGTCTGAATTTGAGTTTAAATTATTATTTATTCAACCAGACATTAGTTACATGATTATGATTTTGAATCTTATAGAAGGCACAGTCTTCAGTTATTGAAATCTGGTGACTTACAGCCCCTCTGTCCTTGAAACCTAGTATGACACCTCTGTATAGCATGTAATAATTCTGCGATGTTTTCTCATTGGAAGCGCAGAAGAAGAAGAAGACGGTACCAGCATCATGCATGTTGGAACATCTCATGTTTACCAATCATGATATTCATGAAGCTAAGCGATGCGAGGCGTGTCTCTATCCCTGTTGTTGCTCGCCACAATCGAGGGCTCAGTTCTGATCGCGGGTCTCTAATGACCTTGAAAACCTTATTTTCGAAATTCCGAAATCCAGCAAAATCCTAATTCTCCGGATTGAAGAAATCAATAAGAAAATTGTTGATTTTGGTCTTCAACGAAACGTGTTCTGTCCAACTACACCAATGTAGAGACATATTAATTTCAGAATCACTTACTCTTAAGGGCAAAATAAACTAACTTTGTTAATATATGATTATAACTGGGGGGAAATGTATATTAAATTCAAATTTCGGTGTAACAAAACTGGACAGCTCCAAGTATGAGACAGCACGCTTCACTGCCCATGGTACTAAAATAAAGCATAGAATTAAAAGCAAAGAAAACTCCAAGTAAATTCACCATCTCGATATTGAAAATGTTTCGGAGTTTAGCTCTATCGTCAGTTCGCCAATCTAGAAAATGAAAACAATAATTTTAATTCAAAATCCAAAGTCATACAATAAAATCTAAAATTGACAAATAAAAGACAAATCCGCTTTAAATCGAAAACAAGCCCTTGCGTAACACAGTCATAAGAGACACGAGAATATCAATATCTACGAAAGAAATAGACGCTAGGAAATAAAAATCTAGCGATTCACTACTTCAAGAGGATACGAACTGTAAATAAATTCCAAACAGTAGTAAATTCCTTATTAAGTAGCGTTTTAAACAGACTGATTATATATAAGTAATAGAGCATAGTATTTGGTTTCTCTATATAAATCTAGAAAATTTCTTTCCCATTAGGTTATTTGTTTAATGGTCTTTAGTTATAGGAGTAAATGAATCAGAATGCTATTTTTTAATCCAAATATGGTAACATCGGAAGAGAGACAAATTATTTTTGAATGAAAACGGGCTGAAATTTGTTTCGATCAAATGTATATCAGAATTAAGCATGCATGAAATTTTTATGCTCAGTAGCTGTCTGTCCTCATTTGGCAATTTGAATTCGTGAAATATCCTCTGCACATTCCTCACAAATTTACGGATTTCATTTCAAGTGTGCATAGTGACATCGATTCTTTGTTACTACGTATCATAATAAGAATTGAGGTAAAAAGTCTTGTAACTTTCAAGTTAGCTGATAATCATTCTTATCGCCATAGGGTCACTAGTTAAAACATTGCCCGAGCCTGGGAATGGCGAAAGACGCTGAGGCTCACGTGGCCTGCAGCGGGACGAGCAGCACGAGCTACACCTCACGCCTCGGCCGACCGCGTCTAACTGAAGAAACAGTCGTCTGACGGTCTGACGGTCTGACGGTCCGACACTCTGACCGTCTGAGACTCTCAATCTCACTCGTCTTCGACTCTCGACTCGACGAGATGCGCATGAGACGGTCTCGTATGCGTCCTGCTGATAAGCTTTATGCTGGAGGACGAAGCTATTTGCAGTAAAAACCTATAGCAATTTTTGTAGATAGATTAGAGTATATCGCTGAAGCGGTGGCTCTTGGAAATAGCCTGATATGTATCAACGCAATGCTACTCGGCAAGGAGGGGGGGGTGGTGTTGGTCATCCGGAGTGGGTACAGACAATCTCATCAGCGGTAACACTAGAAAATTGATGCGGGCAAAGTATTTCTAAGATTATCGTTAATTCGATGGCCTATGAAACTAATTGATGGCGTGACGATGAATACACGGTCATGAAAATAGTCTGAGGATTTTTTTACTCCGAATGGCATTCATTGATTCCAGTATTTATTCGCATTCTCGCAGTTTCTGTCATGACAATCCTTAGTTTTATTTCTAAACGGAAAAGATGAACTTTGAATTTACATTCATAAAACCCTTCATGTTGGGCCCGTGTCGGACCAACTCAGAGTCTTTCTGTGATGATCGTAAGCCAACAAGTTTAATGTATCCAGTTAATCGTAAAATTACCCTTTACTTATATTGCAATCCCTTAGTTTGAACAACTGCCAAATATTGGCAGAGTAAAACCGGCCGTTAGCAGCTAAAACGCTGATCTGCAATACAGAGGACTAAAATCATGAAGCGTGAAAGCATTTGTGAAAACTTTGGCACAAGTTGAGATTTCTCTTGCATGAATTAACGCGGAGTGAATATAAAAATTTACGATATCTCGCGACGCACTGCTCATAGAGGAGAGAATGGAAAAAAAGTAATTGGTGGTCATTAGGATTTGGCCTGCGAGATGATCTAACACGACGTGTTGGGATCAAAACAAAAAATTCATTACACGGGGATTCACAAGCAGTTTACTTTCTTCAGCACTTGATCATAATTAAAGATTAGCGCAGTAGTGAAGGTAATGACATAAGATTAGCAAACACTCAAATTGTGACGAAAGCACGGAACCAGACCAAAGTTAAAACTTTTTATAAAGAAATTGTAGCCAATTTGGTATGACCTGCGAAAGAAAGCCGCTAAGCATTGCTATTCTAGCATATAATGGCAGAGCAAAATCCATTTCATGTCGCTCAGTGCCATCTAGCTACCCCACTGATCTCATGTGCTACGGGCAACACAACATTTCTTTTCGTTGCGGGGGATATGAGGTCCTGTTTCACCCCGTGGTCATGACAGCATGTTTATTGACTTGCACATCGCAGTTTATTTGTGCATTTGGCCCTGATTTGCTTCACTGGAAGGCGTCGACGAGGCGTTATTATGTCGACGAGGAGTTATTATGTTGAGGAGGTTATTATGTCGTCGACGAGGAGTTATTATGTCAACCATTGACCACCAACAACACGGCGGACGACTGAATCAGACTCAGCGTGGTGACTAGGTGTTGCTGTGTGGTGACTATAGGTGATGCTGTGTGGTGACTAGGTGATGCTGTGTTGTGACTAGGTGTTGCTGTGTGGTGAATAGGTGATGCTGTGTGGTGACTAGGTTATGCTGTGTGGTGACTAGGTGATGCTGTGTGGTGACTTGGTGTTGGTGTGTGGTGACTAGGTGATGCTGTGTGGTGACTAGGTGATGCTGTGTGGTGACTAGGTGATGTTGTGTGGTGACTAGGAGATGCTGTGTGGTGACTAGGTAAAGCTAGGCGTGACGCTTACCAGCGCCATCACCTTCCTCTGTCACGTCCTCGGCTGCAGTGGACAACTGCACACATTTAACATAAAATAACATAACATAACATAACATAACATAACATAACATAACATAACATAACATAACATAACATAACATAACATAACATAACATAACATAACATCTGTCTCTTATACACATCTAGATGTGTATAAGAGACAGTAACATAACATAACATAACATAACATAACATAACATAACATAACATAACATAAAATAACATAACATAACATAAAATAACATAACATAACATAAAATAACATAACATAACATAACATAACATAAAATAACATAACATAAAATAACATAACATAACATAACATAACATAACATAACATAACATAACATAAAATAACATAGTGATCTCGGCGCTGAAGTGTAGGCCTGATGTGGCCCGTCGCCGATTCTTTCACTTTTCGTGCCTTGTTCACAGAAGATCGAAAATCATGTGATTTGACCGGATCTTATCATGACTGACGATAGTTTGAAATAGCTAATAAACTTCCACCAGGTTCGATATGGTGCTAGGCATTCAAATCTGACATATATTTTTCCATAGCTTTATCTAGTCTATTCTTGAACGCGTTCATACTCGGAGCGCCAACGCATTGCCAACATTTGCCACACAACACAACGCATTGTTTCTCTTTTCGGCAGTAGCAATAACCGCAATGCGTGATTGTTTAATCAGTAAATTTACTGTACGAAATAAATGATGATCTATTATTGATATTTATAATTTTCTGAAATTATTGGCTGACCTGGACAGATGGTTAACAGATAAGTGATAAAAATATCGGAAACTATTGAAGATACTATGAGATGAAGGTAGTACTACTATTTCAACCTAGCCTGCTCCAGGACCATAAACAAATACGGTTACTAATTGAGACCTGAGTTCAAGATCGTTCAGACGAACGATTAAAACGAACAGTTATGATATTACAAGATCAGGATACAACACGGCTTAGCTGTCAGACTGACCACGAAGCTGCGTCCGACGATGCCGTTGTAGCCGTAGAGAACGACGTGCTGGAAGAGCTTGCGCGTAGTGCTCTCGCCAGACACGACTTCCATGTTCCTCAGTTCCACCGTCCCTCTGTAAGACCATACAAAGAAAAATTACACACAAATACAAGAGGAAAATATAGTATAGAGTATAAAAAATATAGTATAGTAAAATAACATTCAACAAGTTGTTGTTTCTCGCGCCGACGGAGAGGCGAGCGTGTGGTCAGGTGCTGGCCGAAGGAAGTAATAGGATGAGGAGGAGATGGGCGAAGGCAAGATGGTTGGTCAACAATTAAACATTGATAGTCATGGGGAAATAAGAGCAGGTAAATAAGTACTGAATTGACTGGAACGGTCTCAGCACTCAGCTTGGAGCACACTCCTATCTTAGATATAGAAGGGGTTAGGGAACTGCAGTGGAAATGAGGAAAGAGATGACTAAAGCTGTATAGTAGAGTAGCATTGATGGATGTGTCTTGGAGGTGGAGCAGAAACGAGGGGAGGGAAAAAATTAAGAGGCTTGCAGACGGTATTAATGAGGTGTGGGTACAGAATGCCCAGGTGGGCAGGGAGGGGATGTCGGTACTTTGGTACGCCTGTCGCTGTATTTGGTCGATTGAAGTCTGTTGGAGGCATCCATTGGCCGGCTTTAAACCGAGAGCAGAAATAGTCGCCTTTCTGCTCTCGGCCTTTCTGGCACATGTCGCCTTTCTGGCGACATGTGCCAGAAAGGAGCTTCGTAGATCAGGATTGGTGAGCGCATAGGTGACAATGATGTACTTTTGTATAATCCTACATAGTTTGTACTCACCAGGGCTTTGGACTTACGCAAGTTACCTACCGCCTTTGCTTCAAAGGCCTTGATGTGAGTGAAAAAAACAAGTAGTGGGTATCCAATGAAGCTTCTGAGATTTCCGGACTTTTATCAAAAGGGATGACCGTTTCGTAAGAATCCAGGCGTGATTAACGAGCGTTAGTGGTGGAAATTGTGACGGACAATTTCTCTGCGGCGTCGAGTCAGAAAAGCCTAAGCTGCACTCTTAAGGGGAGCGTCTGGCCAAAATTTTATCTCGGCTATTTACAGACGGATCACTTTGAAACTTGGTACACATGTGTAAAACCAAAAAATAGACAGCTTTTATTTATGCCAATTTTTCGAATAAATGAAATAAAACGTGAAATTCTTGGAAACCGGTCATAAAAAGGGGTACCTAGGGTACCCCTAGGGTCCTAGGATTCTAGGATTTCTAAGGCCCTAGGAAAATTCTAGGGTCCTAGGATTTTCGAGCTACAACATCAAGACGCATATCATTCGATGAGTAAAGACCATATCTATCGATTGTTCATTCAGTTTTTCGAAATTCTAATTTTTATGGGTGGAGAAGCATTTTTTGTAAATTTTTTCGGAAATTTCTCAATTTTCGCCCCCACTCCCCTCTATTTTCCTACATAGAATTAAAACTTTAACAAAATTTCTAGATCTTTTATTTGCGAATCGAACGATATATTTCTCATCGCTGTAGCTTAAAAACTCTAGGAGGAGATAGGTTTGCAGTGACAATAAGTGTGAATGTTCAGTAGAGCGCGACAAAGTCCCGAGCGCCTCGAAATAGGCATTCAAGGTGGCAAGGATGCAAGACTATACATTACTGGAGCAGTGGAGCTTAAATTCAGTGAAGGATGGTGGGAACGACTGCATGAGCACCCCGTACGACAGCAGCCGGGTATCTAAAGAGCAGCGTGTTCAGCCCGGCTATTTAAGTACTCGGCCGCAAATTTTCCCCATCTTAATTGTGATGAAACTCCACCACCCCTAACCCATTCGCGATCTGTCGTGAACGCATAAATCAACTTACAGAAATGGTTATGGTACCGTTGGATAGGTCAGAATGTAAGCTTTAAGATGAGACTAAAAACCGGAGAAGCCAAATCCAAAATTTTTGGCCAGACGCTCCCCTTAATGGGACAGGTGATTAAATTTCCCTTTGGGGCAAAAAATCTAGGGAAAAAGTATGTCCGTCAAAGTTTATATGTGAATTGTACATGACCGTCGATCACTCATTTATTGGCATCAGAAACACGCAAACATTTTGGCTGGGTAGCAGGACTTCGCTGCGAATAAATTCAATGAATTCAGAGCAATATACGATGTTATTGTGTCTGGAAAATGGTTCTGGTCTTTATTTGAACTTTACTGTTAGCTAATACTTGCCATAGAATTATTGATTAATGTCTTGGATCTGACGTAGGGTTGCATTCACTTAGTACATTACTGTTTATGAAACCGAACAACCGATGAACGGCATTGTCACTGTCAGTGGAATTGAATTGGATTTTTGGACAGTGGACAAGAGAATTGAATTTTTTGCCGGCCAACAATTTTTTTGCCGGATTGTTGTTTGTAACAAACTTACAAATGACATTTACGACCCAGGCTACAATTTTATAAAATTCTTACCTTGAAAGTTGCGAGGGAGAAAATGTTGGCCCAACTCTGCTACAGCTACCTTCAGGGGCAGCGTATCTGTGGAGACTGAGCTGCAGCACATCGGCCTGCAACCCAGATGAAAATTTTAGATGAAATATAATTTGTCTCTAATTTCTGATTATAATTATAATCAGTGACGATCAATGATAATGATAAATGGCAATTATTATTATCATTGTCTGAATTCTGGTGATGGGTGGCAATTAAGACGCAGATCAGAGTTTCCAGATTCGCGCACGATCCACTCGCGGATCGTGAGCGCTGATGCGCAACTCATTCAACCCGACCATCCCGAAGAGGTAAATACGAGATGAGAAGAACCCACAATTAGTAATTTTATGCCAAGAGATACCTGTACACGAGTATAATACTAGCCGTTTATAGTAGCGGCTAATATTATCCGCATCTAGTTTTAGGCTAGTTTTAGCTAACGGTGTATTTTTATTTTATAACACGACAGTGCGTCGTCAAATTAAGCAGTCTAGAGAAGTCTGCGCTCGATGAAAGAATATGGAATGTGACAATGATAGTGAGTTTTAGGAAGCCTTTGATGAAGCAGTTGGTAATATTGTTGTTACTCCAGCTGTGAAAGTGAAAAACATTGTCAATCAATATAGAATATGGGTTCAAGACTAGGTAGGAAAGAGCGATAACTTGTGAGCATCTTCGACTCTATTTCATAAGTGGACTGAGCATCATCATAGCTACGCATACTACGTAAATGCGGATGATTAAGTATTACAAGCCAGTAGCTGCTTATCAGCACATGAAACTCGGATTATTGTGTTCATGCATGCGCCGCTAATCTCTCCGATAGTTGTGGAAGCTAGCACCGCTATACGAGGCAAGTAGCCCAAAATTACTATCGGTTATTATTATCAAATCTTCTAATGGCTAATTCTAGAAATAGAATTCCAAGTTCAATTGCGAGGACGACCACTAAGCAACGGTTGACTATCCAAACATAAATTTGACCTTTTTTTGCGGACGAATTCTTATATAATATGAGAATGGTTCGAGGTACACCAGTTTGATGGAAAATTACCTCACTATTATAATTAACAAGGAAATTTATTCGCTTTGCTATAAGCTGAAAATAATCAAGGTAACAACAAGTACTCACTGATGAATAGCTTTCATCGGGAGACTTGAGTAGCGTTTCTCACCGCACTGTCGTCAAGCCCCGAGATGCGAACATCTATCGTGACGCCTTCACTCAGGTCTGCGGGCTGGGACAGGCTGATGGTCCCGGTCACGCGTGACTCAGCAGAACTTGTGTCATCGGGTTTCAAATGACACGTTGCCGTGACGAACTGGGGACGAGGCCTCTGATGGCGGCGACGTGGTCCTCCTCGTCGTGAGTTGCGGTGACGATGGCCAACAGGCCGAAGACGGGAGAGAGCGAGAGGGCTGTCGTCATAGGGTGGCTGTTGCGAGGCGTCGTGTTCGGTTCCATCGTTGTCTACTGCTGCCTCCGGGTTTTCTGTGTCATCACTCGCCTGGAAAAAATTTTCCAGAGCACAACCTTTTATCAAAAGTGATAACGAAAAAGTACAATAATAAGTAAAAATTAACGCGGTTAAAAATAATTTCCTGCAAGAAACGCAGCTTTCAGGTTTTAGTGGCGGATTTTTTGGATGCTTTTGGTATAAACATGTTGATTGATATTTTGATCAATATTCAACGTTACGTTAAAATCAAAATTTATGTCAAATTTTCAGTAGCAGGACCACACAGTTTGTGGCCATAAGAAATCTCACAATTTTCTACCTAATGTGGTAAAAAATTTCTTCTACCTATTTCTAAAACAAAATATAAAATGAAGCTCACAATTTCTATGGTGTTGCGATATTCGTCGAAGACCACAGCAGCTTCGCGTTGACTGCAACAAACGAACAAAATGAAATCTACAAAAATTAAGTTATCTTTGCAATAAAACAGAAACTTTATGAGCAAACGGTTTGATTGAACGGCCCAATGATGAGGTTTCATTGAACTTATCTCATGGCTACGAGACATCAATGCTAGCAATGAGATAGAGCACTGGCACACCTGTGAGCAAACGCCTGCTGCTCGTTGTAGGGATGGAATGACTCTCGGTGGGGGAAAGGAAGCAGGCGCTCGTCAGGAGTGTCCGGTGAACTTGACTGCAAAGAAAACAATATTCGGGCAACAAATTTTCTAAAATAACATGTCCACAGATATATTATGCCAGGCTTAAAATATTATTCTCATTCTTAATTCAAATGCCTATTGCAAGGCCTGTGATGCATCAGCTCCTCACCCAGCCAGTACCGGAGTAACCTTACTATTCTCTTATGGCTCCGATTGAGAACCGCGAGCCCTCAGGCAGGCTTGGCTGAATCCCCATGAGATTCTATCACTACGTATAGTCATTACAACTCCGCTCGTAAATAAAATATCAATCAAAATTTTTTTAATGCTTATTCAGCAATTTATTTACATTTTCCCTCCAGTTACAAAATGTATGTAAATATTGTATAACATCAGTTATCATAGAGAAAAATGTTGTACATCGATGTTCATCATACATGCGAGTGATGCCACTTACCTAAATTTTTGAGACATAAGGAAGTAGTACTATTAATTCTCTATTGATCGGTATTAAAGTCATATTTGAATCACCCTCCATTTTGTAAAAATTTTATAACAAAATACTTTTTCATCACTACTGAATCGTACTACTTTGTTCTGAGCATGTTACACGTGTCGTACCGTTCATGCGACGCCTTCCTTCACGCTCATAAATCAGCTCGCGTGAAGTGACATAGGCCACGTCTATCCTTAATTAGGGGTAGAGGGACAGCCTCCTTACCCTCCTTACCCCCTTACCCTCCTGGCTGTTGGTGTTAAAGGGCTAGCAAGTTTAAATTGTCGATAGCTGCATGCACTATAGTGTTAAATTGTCAATAGCTGCATGCACTAGAGTGTTAAATTGTTAATAGCTGCATGCACTAGAGTGTTAAATTCTCAATAGCTGAATACACTAGAGTGTTAAATTGTCAATAGCTTCATACACTAGAGTGTTAAATTGTCAATAGCTGAATACACTAGAGTGTTAAATTGTCAATAGCTGCATACACTAGAGTGTTAAATTGTCAATAGCTGCAATCACTAGAGTGTTAAATTGTCAATAGCTGCATACACTAGAGTGTTAAATTGTCAATAGCTGCAAGCACTAGAGTGTTAAATTGTCAATTACTGCATACACTAGAGTGTTTAATTGTCAATAGCTGCATACACTAGAGTGACTAGACTAATCCGTTCTGTGACTATGTTCAGGTGCCAAAAAGTTCGTGAGACACTAAAAAAAATTTACGATGAAGCGAAAAGAAAAAAACTTGATGTGATATATGTGATTTATATGTGAAATTTGATATTAAAATTAATCGAATTTTCGCGTATCTCAGGGCAAAAAATATATACTTGTTTTCGAAGAAAATAAGTTCATCTTTTAGTTAGAAATTTATAGCATCAGTCTGCTTAACCGAAAGTTCAAAACTAATTTGAACGCAAAGAAAACTATACGTAAATTTACCATATCTTCAAGGAATTAATTTAAGATTTGCATATGGTGAATTTATGAATTAAATTCATCGTAGGTGGGGTGAATTTACGTGGCGTTTTCTTTGCCAGTGTAAATCTGCGATATGCTGAATTATGAGTCTTTCTTAAGTGTTATCAGATGGATGACTCGACTTGATTATTGATAACTACGAGCGCGTTCTATTTCTCCTGTCATACTCCATGCAATAAGGGCTTCGCTCGAATCAAACCTTGCCTCAATATTACGGCCATAAGGAACCTGACAGCATTTGTAATATGAGGTTCACGTGCTCAGTATGGGGAAGAAGATTAAGAACAGTTCGCAGTGGCATTTCTGTGGAGCCATTGCTTCCAATTTTTCAAATTAGGATGTTATGATCAAATACCTGCAATTAAATCCTTATTGTTGTAGGCGTAATAATACAGGATCCGCCATATTTATGGCAACGGATGTTTGTTATATAAAATAAATTGGTTTCTACGAGACTTTTCTTTTATAATGAAGCTTAATATCATCTATTAATTCATCTATTTTATTTTGCAGAAGTCTAAGATGTCTAAATTTACTATTACTTATGGCAGTTGATAGAAATGCAATTGTAACCCTTCATGAAAAGGGCGAGAGTAAATCAGTCATTGCAAAAAAGCTCCAAATTCGTCGTGAAACTGAGCGGAAAGTGGTAAAAACATTTAAGGAAACTGGTGAAACATGCAATCGACCTGGTCAAGGAAGGAAACGGAGTGTCCAAACAAAACAATTGGTCAAAAACACAAGGGAGAAGTTGGGGATAAACCCTCGTCGCTCAGCTGCAAAATTGGCTGCAGAAGCAAGAGTCAGTCAGACATCAATGCGTAGAGTCCTCAAAGATGACCTCAAAACCTCCCCTTACAAGATGCAAACAAGGCATGAACTAACAGACCGTCATGAACGATTGAGGCTCGAGAGATGCCAGCACATTCTGGATCTCATTGGGAATGGCACGCTGCCAACTTGGTGTTCAGTGACGAGAAAAAATTTGACATTGAACAAAGCGTTAACCTTCAAAATGACAGAGTTTGGAGTCGGGATGGATCTGTGGCAACCAGAACAGCAACACGACGTCAAAATCCCATGTCCGTGATGGTTTGGGCCGCGGTAACCGCCACTGGGAGGTCCCCATTCGTTTTTGCCCCCTCAGGAGTGAAATTGAACAGTCAGCGATACATTTCGGACATTTTGGAAGCTGTGTTGTTACCTTGGGTCCGTAAACACTTCAACGGCTCACCATGGAGTTTTCAACAAGACTCTGCCCCATCACATGGCTCAAACATGACCCAAAACTGGATTCAGGGTCACATCCCAGCGTTCATTAGCAAAAATAAATGGCCCTCAAAAGCCCTGACTTGAATCTTCTCGACTTATATATGTGGGCTACTTTAAAGAGTAGGGTCTGCAGAAAACTTCACGATTCTTTGGATAATTTGAAGTCTAAATTGACACGAGAATGGGACTTGATCCCTCAAGAAATGCTGTGTGTCTCCTGTGAAGCTTTGCCGCGTAGATTGGAGGCCGTCATTAAAAATAAGGGTGGTCATATTGAATAATATGTCAGAGAATTGTTTAGATAATTCTTGGCTACTAGCTGATCCAATAAAAAAACAATGCACCTGTTTGTTTCATTGAGAAATAACAAAAAAAAACATGCGTTGCCATAAATATGGCGGACCCTGTATTGTAGGGAGTCTTCCATTCACAACAGACGCACCAAAGACAAGCAATTAGAATTTTAAGGCCGTATTTTAAACAGGTTTTAGAACCGTTATGAATATGCGCTAAGTGTAGGGATTCATTGTACGTACCTGGTGGTGCTCGGACGCTGGATGTGTGCCGGGTCGTCCCGATAAGGAACGCTGGATGCTCGTTATCTGTTCTCTGATGTCGCGCAGCTCTGTCCACACGAGCGACAGGTTGGCACGTATGCCGCTCAGAGTTGTGTCGTGCGGATCTATGGAGACGTTATTGCATTCACTACTAGGAATACAACTCAGGTTTAGAATGTTTGCAATGCATCCATCCACAAGTGTATGAGTTTATCAGCGCGTTTGACTATCGGTCATAAATAATCAATAAATGATGGTCAAGCACCTCTAATCCAGTTTTTCGGATTTTGTCATGAATTGTTCTTTGCTTTGTTCTTAGTGTGTCTGTAGCCTTGTAGTCTGACTGGTGACTGCGTCAGAATGCGCTTTCCACCGACGTGTTGAAAGTGAGTGAAACCTGCGCCATCTACATCCATTACGGCTCAATGATGAGCTTAAATGTTCACACTTATTTTACAGCCGTTAAAATAAACCATCATTGGGACGGTATAAGTCTGCATTGTGATTGTTTCAAGCCGTGTGGGAGGCAATAGTTTTGACTTTCGATCATGTACGGTTTTAGAGAGTGTGCATTTATAGCAAACCAGTGTGTTTACATAATATCACTTATAATCAACACAAGTCTGAATAAATGACATAAGTAAGCGGATACTCAGCAACTATAGGTACAGTGAAGATAATCAAAATTAATACATTTAAATCGTGAATAAGTTTCTTGTTATCAAGATTTTCAATTCCGTAGCAGTCATGGCAATATCCGAAAAACTGGATTGGAGGTGCTTGACCATCCTTTATTGATTATTTATGTCCGATAGTCAAACGATGACGAGATTACAAATATCACACTACTTATTTGTGAAGCAAACCACCCGTATTCACTGTATACGCACAATGAATTAAAAGCATATTAAATTATCTGGTCGGCAATAAAATTAACATTAGGGACCCTGATGATCAGGGTATTATCACTATTATGCCACTTACATTCATTTGTCCCAGTGTTCAAAGAAGGGAAACGGCAGGAATGCTACTTGTATTGTTAAGTTTAATCTTTTTTAATTAAGACGGTTATAGCGGTGGTTGGCTCACAGACGGTTCATTTGTGTTTCTTACTCGCTCCTAACCGGCGTGATGTGGTTATGAATTTTCATTGGGATTTTTCTGTTTGTCGAAGATTGTTGCGATGATTAACAGAATTCAGATGACAATTTCTTCAATGTAGATAATTCAAAATATTGAACGGTTCCTACGTAAGCAACGTCCGTCTGAGAAGGCAACGTGTAAAACTTTCTGAATCGAATTAAAGGTGGTCCCGTATTATTTATTTAACTCATGCAAAGATAAAATGGTGTTTTTAAAGATGCCCCATGGAGCCTTGGCTGTCTTGTGGCCCTGATACTCCTAGTGGGTCAAGGCAAGACATTGGCATGCAGACAGCAGCCAACTACCTCGCTGACAACGCACCTAGAATTCGTCTTATCATGCAGACTGCAGTCCTCTTACTCGCAGATGAGAATTTTCTTATGTTGTCATACGGACTCAGTTATCATGCAGACTGCTATGCAGTCCACCTCTCCAAATAAATGAAATTAATTATATCATGAGACTTCCTCATAAAGACGGTAAACCTCGTTTATACAGGGTGTAGGAAACTTCCGCATATGTTTTATCCTTCTTTAAACACTGTCCGGCAGACTGTAAGCAGCCTTATAACTGATAAGGCGATTAATTCAGATGAATTTCTTTTCTGGAAGAACCATTCTCCTGAATTCAATCTCTTATCTCTTTCTGTAGAGTGCAATATCTACTGAGAAAACTGTCCCTCAGTTTCTTCGCGTATCATTAATAGACATCACTCTAACTGGCGGTGCTCAGTCATGTCTCAACTTCATCTTATATGAAGACAAACGTCGAAACTTGGCCGGGATGGCAAGAGCATTCGTGATCAAACCAAGGTGGGTGGGGGGTTCGTGCTCGGCAATTCTGACGACAATAGTAAAACACACGACTAATTGAAGGCTGAATTCTCACGGCATCCGTCTCTGGCGTTCATCGAAAATCTACAATAGCCGGGAACTTAGAGTCAATGTCTGTAAACGACAGAATTAGTTTATGCTTTAAATCCGGATATATATTAGCTGACGTATTTTAATTGCAAATCTTATTTTGTTGCCAAGACACGGAAGATTTGCCTGGGCTAGGTTTCTTAATTTTGTTGTAAATATGTTTTAGTTTATATTAAGTTGTCGTATGTCTACTCAAATTGACTTGGAGAGGTCTAGCTTTTGCATCGTCACGGAAACAATTTAATTTTTTCATAACGAATACAATAATTTTTGCCCTCGTGTTGAATACGATAAATCACACTCGAGCGGTTTTTATTCTATATATGACCTTAATTAAATACTCTTCCGATCCAATGTGTCGAAAACTCTAGCGGACGAATTACAATGAGCCAAAATAAATTGAAGCGAATGAATTGCATTGAGCCACAGCGAATTGCAGCAGTCGAATTTCAGTGAGCCACAAGAAATTTAAGCTTACGGATTGCAGTGAGGCATAAGAAACTGACGATGCCGAATTGCAGTGGGCCATAGGGAATTAAAAAATACAGAAAAAGACAACGACTCAATCATGGCGTTTTTGCGTCGGTAAAACTAAAATTCGCTAAAATTTTCAGCTCATGCTGAACTCAGTCCGAAAATGCGTTATGTTTAACTGCTGTCAGCTTACTATCTGGAAATGGGTCGGAACGAAGCCTCTTTTTTTCTGACAATGCATTGCTGCTTTCATGAGAAAAATTTCCTTTGTCAAATACTTTGCCTGTAACAATCAGATAGTGATGAATTTGTCTGCAACTCAAATAATGGGAGGGTATGGTGTACAGCAGGCCTCCAGCAGACTTCATGAGAAAACTGGATAAATTAATCATATGTTGACGCCTGTATTCACGATATGCAGTCATTCTAGGGATTTTGAATTCTGCTCGATTGAGTAGAATTCATTCTCAATTGGATTTTGAATTCTGCTCAAGTTGACTTACTTTTCAGATTGTCAGGTATGCACTCAAAACAAACCTAGAAACTGAGAGAAAGAAATCTTACCGTAAGAACTGCATATGAAAGAAAGCGTACCGTGAGTGATGGATGATGATGCAGGTAGCACGTAGAGGGTGATGTTCCGGTGTTGGGGCGGTATGGAGGTTACGCTACAGGTGTATTCGCCGGCGTCCGACTCCTGCGCGTTTTTGATGACGAGCCTCCACATATCGCCGTCGTGCGATACGGCCATCCGAGGCCTGGCATCCACCAACATCGTATCCACGGATAATATCATGCCACTTGTTGCCCAAGTGACGCTGTGGGTGCCCAAATGAGGCACTCTACATGGCAGATAAACAGTGTCTCCTTCATGTGCTCGGATTTCCCTAGGAGAGTCTGTGGCAATCCCTGCAGTGATAGCGCCCAGCTCAATGAGCCGTTGTTCTCTCTCACTGCGCTTCAGCGACTCGAATTTATTCGCAGAACGTGGCAGACGCAGTTTACTCTCGTGCAACTTATATTTAGCGGGGAAACTGTTTCGAAGTTGGAACGAGTGAACGTGGAGGAGGACAGCGCAGCAGAATATTATTAAGGGATGCCGAATGTGAAGCATGTTGAAAGGAGCAACGTTAGCAACAGACTGAAGCTGCAGTGAAAGTGTCTCGTCGGTGCCGACAAAACTTCGATATAAATAATGCAGCCAGCACGATCTCGTTGGTACTCCGAACATGTAACAGCATACATGCCAGTGGTAAAAAAAGTTTATTAGGTTTCACAACTTATGTTCGATCATGGCCAAGTGCGACATTAAATTAAAAGAAGCTGGCGGTGTATGTGTGTCGTCAAGCAGAGATACCTTCTAGGCAAACTGACGCAACGTAGGATCCTGAAGGACTTGATCTTGAAGTCTACTCCGAGAGAAAACATTTACCAAAGAAAAATATGTACGTTTAAATCACCACCATGTATTAGAGCTGATCGACTGACCCAATAGTCAAAGGTCAAATATTATATATATATATAAGTAAGCAGGAAAATGGACACGACTTATTATAATGGATGTACGAACGTGTTTTCCACAGATAAACTTTTCTGCACCAGCCGTCGGCGTGGAGTTGTTGATGCTATTCAATTCCACGAATTCTATCCCGCGTGAACTCATGATGGAAGGTAAAAATGACTGAATGACATTATAATAGTACCTACTGCTTTAGAGGGCTGGGTATTTGTGCAACATCTAGAACGTCAAGTGAATATTACGTCTCAATTATAGATGATCTAATCTTATAATATATTATAAGAATATAATGAGACGCCAGATTGACACCCACCACAGCTGAAGATTTGTATTTATACGAATTTCAAGATTTCCACTAATTTGAATTAATACAAATTGAACGAAACCAACAAATTGAAGAAAAGCGATGTTTCACGTGAGAACTAAACAGCTTCCAACCGGGCTTTCGATGACCGTGATTTCACGCTTACTTCACCGCATTGCGTTACGATGAAGGGTTGTACGGACCTATACTCTCTATTTTTGTTTGGTGAAATTCAGTGTGCAGCGATAGAGCAGAAGAAATTTTCACACAAAATATTGTAAATACAGTATGCGCTCATTTATTATTCGCGTCAAAATCTTATCGCTCGAGCTTACTAGCTGTGGTGCAGAACGAGAATATATATGTCGTGTCGAAATCGTGGAATTGTCGATTTTATGGAATCGGCTGCAGCCAGTTTGACGAATCTATAGAATCAGCATTCCTATACTATAGGAATCTGTGTTTAGGTCAGTTAGCCAAGTTCTTTCTTCAATTTGTAAATATAAAAGAACTTGACCGAACTTACCCTAACGCCCGATTTTCTGAATCGGCAACAAAATGCTGATTCTATAGATTCGGTAAACTGGCTACCGATTCCATAGAATCGTCAATTCTGCGATTCCGACACGACATATAAACTTATATTTATACGCTCGAGATTGAGTCGAAGTTGAATGTTCGATAATTAATAAGGCTTGAATTAAAACTGAGCTTCACAAATGAAAAAAAAATTAACTAGAACACCAATGAGAATTTTCCACCTAACATTTTCATCCATTTCAGTTATTTTTCTTTGTGGAAATTATGCAAATCTGCCATTAAACATGTATATATCAAAGTGTTCTCAGAGGAACAGGGTAGTTAATGACCTTAACAGTAATTTCTTATCCCGCGAGCTGACGATATAAGCAAGCAAACGTTAAGCCGCAACGATAGGGAAAGACAAGTTGTTGAATGTATAATTGAGGTTGATTTCATCACTGTTAATTTCAAGTAAACGAAAGGATTTCTAATTACTCAGATTTTTGACACCACGTGTTGGTTATGTGAAGCATGATTCTTATAAGAAGAACCTGAGAACTGCCTTCTCGTTAAAATTACCGAAATATTTGATGCTATCACGATTCTGGTGTGCTTGCAAGCAAGCGAAATTGAAGGGGATTGAGAGTGAATATTGGAATGAGGAAAGACTGAACAATAAAACACCACTAAACTGTCATGGGTTGTAGGACGGTATCAATTGAAGTCTATGTACCGAAGTCTACAGCTGGTATATATAATAGTACATAAACTGATTGGCTTGATAATACATTTTGAATGGTTCTTGAGGAACTTATGACCCACAAGACTGGTCTAGTTGCAGGAAGAGACTGCAAGCAAACGACTTCAAGTTTTGGCAGTTGGTATTCGCTTTTTATCTGTTATATGTAAATTTATGAAAGTTTGTTTTATTGTGTGTTTGCTTGTGTGTTTGAAGCCTTGTACTTACTGTTATTATAAAGAAACTGTTTTAGCGCGTATTCAACAAACCAGTATTGTGACGCGTGATACCGGGATCTAGAATTCTTTTCCAGATTAGGAATAGAATGCATTGCAAACTGGGAACAAGTGGGTTGGAAGAAAAATTGAAATTTGATTAATTATTTGGTTTATTTCAATTCCTTAAAAGAACAAACGTTTGTGCAGTTCAAAACAGACTTCGAATGGAGGTTTTGCACGTTAAATGTGTGATCAAAAGAGTATTGTTTAAATGAGCATTAAAATAGTTTGAAAGTTACCGAAAGGATTCGTATTAGCGCGATCTTCACAGATCTCATTGTACATAGTATTTTGCTGTTAATTTGAATTTTATCCAAAAATTACATGTTCAAATTCCTTAACTTCTTAGATGTACGGATCGAAGTTGGGCGCAGCGGCTGAGTTTTAACGGGTTTTTCTTTAATTAACATTCATCGATTTCATTATAATCAGGGTTGACAAAATGCGGAATGATGGTTTACGGGATCAAGGGATTCAAGTTGGAACGATTCGCGTTAGTAAAATTCAGGTAGGCAGTATTCGGAATATTCGAAATTTTTAAAATGAATGCCGGGAGCAACGATGTTGAACGACGATATTTGAGATGAAAGGATTCGTATAAGTGGATTTGTAGTTCCTGAATTCACGATAACGGCATTTTACCAAGGATTTAACATCCCCGGCAACCCGGTAATAATTCGCTAATAAGATTACATAAGACATATCGTGCTCTGAGGGCCTGTACCGATATCTTACCAGTAGCTAAATCTCGACAATATTGTCGAAGTTTCAATTTTCTTCAAGCTGTTTAGGAGTTATGCATGAATGCAATACACATGAATTCTTTGGGGGTTCGGAATGTCGACATTGCTTTTGGAGGTTCATAATTTGTCGATACCGGTAAGTAAAAATTTTCACACGAGCACTCTTCGCTTAAAATATTTTCCCAGCATATTCGTTATGAATCTGAAATGCAATTATTGATAATGATTATCACTAGTAGAAGCAGATCTATTCGTCACATTCAGTTGTGACGGTTTAGTTGGCGCAGTGTAGACCAGGGCTGAACTTCTCGCAAAAGAGGGCGGTCTGGCTTAGAGTGCGCATGAATTTCGTTATCGGCAGTTCGTCTGACATCGGTGATGAGGGGTGACGTTAGTGCTAACATCACAGAGGGAGGTGTACGATGCCCTTGGTAACAGCCGCCCTCTACTACAGGGCAAGCAACAAGCAGCAATTCAAGCCATCGTGCCCCACTGTCCTCGAGCCTCAGTGCTGCTTGAGCCATCGGCGCAAGTAAGTTCTGCCGTCTAAGCACTCCGGGATAAACGAACCGGGCAGCTCGGAATCTTTCAGAAATCGTGGCCCGTGATTAATTTCAAACAAATCAGCTACTCGTAATTTTCTCGTACAAAGTATAACGATTGGCGCACGAAATCTGTAGCAAATGTTAGCAGAACAGTCATTGCAGTACTCGTTCCTAAACTAAAGTAGTTGTAAGGCTTCATGGGCAAACGTATAATATAAGTTTCAAGCAGCCCTTGCTTGTGTTGAAATTTAATGTTAACAAAATTGAAGGTAAGATAAGATGTCATTATTTACTGTGGTTGAGGCTCCATCAATGCAAACACTGTCTGAGACGGTGGCTTGCTTCAACCCTGGCGCTTTAAATCCTTCAACCGTCGAGGTAGTCTTCTAAAGCTTACAGAAATCTTTCTCTTTTAGGCGTGTTAAGCACATTGTTCACCGTGATATTAGGAGACCAGATCCCCACACTGTCTGCTGATTGTTGTGATGCTGTAAATTGGTTTCTTCAGTACACGACCGTTTTAGGTAAGAAACTGAAACTGACCGGAAACTTGAAACAAATGGCCATCACCCAGTAAAGTGATCGTAATCCTTACAGTTCTGTTAAGTCGAATACTCTTTTAAATTTAGCCTTCTTGTTCGATAAACTTGAGAAAAATATTCAGACATGCAGAAGTCAAATTTTATGTAGAGTAAACCGTGGCTCTCAATGCCTTTCTTAATTTCTAATTGCATACAGTTGTGTTATTCAACAAAAATTGCAACCGTGTTAATTCTTCAAGGTCAAGTTGAGTACCTCGAATTGGCAATGTGAGCAGATGGTTGACTGCTGGTGTGTTCGAGTAAATTGTGCACTTGTCATTCACATACTGAATGTACAATGTGCACACTGTACACTGTACCGTTCAATAGTGTCGTGCTATCTTCCTCAAAAATGGTGATGGAACAACGCTTCGTGAGTTAAAAGCTCAGGCGGACGGGCACGAGTTTGTTTCGACGGCTTTCTGTTGCTTGGCTGGCTATTTACAGGAACGAAAATCATGCTTATGGCTTCCAGCTCAGAGCCTCATTAACTGTTGTTTATTTTTGCACTGTGAACATGAAACAATTGTGAAGTAAAACGCTATCCGTATGAAACTGAATTTACCGCTAAAAAAGTAAAAGCAAAATGTCTGCTATATTGACCAAAGTTTTGTGCGATAACCTCCTCACATCAGGATTTATGCGTTCTCAGTTCAACGGATTTTTAATCTTCAAATTATGATTAACAACAACAACATTAAAAATCAAAACAAATATCAATAAAGATGTCCTCCCACCCTGAATTCTAACTATGGAAGAAGAAACAAGGCAGTTGTTGAAGTGACGATCCTATATAAGCGTCTCATACCGACCTGGTCAAGTAGGCGCCTATATGTACTGTATATTTGAGTACAACGATTCAATTTCTTATGATCGCCATACCATATAATATTTACTTCTTCATTCGAATACGAATTTATCATTGCTACTATGAAGTTTTATTAGCTAATCTCTAATTTTCTTAATTTGTTTTGAAATTATTTTGCTCTTAATTACTCAGCAAATAGTTTTGCCTCGAATGACGTTTCGTTACGTGGCATATTGCATACGACAGTTAGTCAATTAGTGGAAGTCGAAAACAAAAGTCTATAGTGTACACTGTCCTATGTGTAAAGCTTCTGAATTTCCGATCAAGAATCACCCGTGTCTTGTTTCTATCCTCTAAGAGACGCGGACTACCAAAACTTTGCGATTACAAACGGCTTTTGTGTTGTGGTTGCCACGTGCATGTGAACTGCGGCAGTGTGTGGGCCTCGATAAATTCACAGCATGACTTTCTTGCTGACAAAGACGACTTACTTTTAGCGACACAGACGACTTGCCAACTCGACGACTTTCTTTTCGTGAGCTTAATTTAATTCAATCTATAAATTGAGTAACATGGTAAATTGAGTTAGTGGGCGCCATGCAGCATGTGCCCTTAGCACGGATATTTGTCGACTGGCAGAAAACAAATCAGAGTTTGCTTGTAATTAAGATCTTATTAGAAGCATATAATACACGTATTGGTCTTTTAATTCTATCTAATTATTGTAGATTTGTTAAAAGATTCTTGTGTTTATTTTGAGTCCATTTGTAAATATTGATTCATGTAATATCTCAGATCTCATAAATTTCATTATAAACCAATTAATTATTCTAACGCGCGAATTTCCATACAGCGTTTTCATCATCTAATTTAGATAAGCTCTTGTGTATATTGAGAGTGAGAAATTTATAAAGAAGAGCGGCAGAGAAGGGCAAGAAAGACACGATGCTATTGATGTTGTTTGCTGTGATGCTGGTGGGGCTCAGCGCACCAGTATCTGCTACATCAGACGAGGGTGAGCGTGAGATGCTGTCTCCGTCTGTCATCTTATCTTAACAAAATACCTTGTGCTCTGAACTGAAGGTAAAGCAATTAGAACTCGTCTGATGGTGCCTTGTCACTTCTTTCAATATATTTTAGATTTCAAAATAGATTTAGCTTAAGTCTTTTTTCTGATTCAATTAAAGTGTAATAATTTACTTTAATGATTCTGAAGTACAGCTGGAGTGATCATTATTAGAAGTGTAAATGACATTGGATACAAACTTATGACATTACTATTCTATTGATTTTCTTCTTAATTGTGAATACGTTAGAAATTGAAGTAGAATGGAGCTTGTAAACCGCTAAGGAGTGGATGATTCGAATAAAAAAAACGTGGAATGAATTAATTAGCAATCACTGCTTGATTTTATTTTACTGAAACCCTTTCACAAAGGCATTTTAACTGGTCTTTATGTTTCAAACCAAAAATCGTGTACACGGATATAAAAACAAATTACGATGGGGAAAATACGTCTGCGTGCACTCCAAGCAATGAGCGTACAGAAGGAAAAAATATTCATTTTAATATACTCGTAAACGGTTTCATCAGAAACACGATAAATTTCATGTAATTTTCTTCGAAACAAAATACTTTGTACGTGTAAAGCTACGTGACTAACGAGCTCGCGGTCCACGTAGCGCTGTCGGAGCTGGACGAGCTGCACCAGAACGTGTCGGCGCTGTGGGCGGAGGTGGCCGCCCTGCGGGAGGAGGTCGCCAACCACCACCACGGGGGACACCTCGAGCCTGACCACGACAGGGTGAGTCCAATGAGGTTCGCTGCATGGCCAGCGTAGTGACTAGAGCACTAAACTATCCATCGGGACGAGCGGCTACCTTGCCAATCTTGACACCACAATTGCCAAAATCTGCTCAGTGGAAAATCCTCATGGGTAGTTTCTACCCTGCAAATCATAGTTCTGACCAGTATTATATGGTTTATAGTGATAGCTTCCTAACAGAAAGACTTAAAGCTCATAAAGCTATCATTGTTGGATGCTCGAGATTGTACAAGGCTAGGGTTTATGCTCACCTTGGAAGAGTTTATATTAATGATGCTGAACGTTTCTTAGTGGGATTTTTGTTCGATGCGTGAATTTAAGAGTTGGCAGCCTGGCGGAAATAATATTTACGATGGCTCAAAGGCTTCTGGATGATTAAGAGACTGCTTGTTTTAATGCAAAATTATTGGTACAGGAACTTCTCTCTCACTTCTCTCAGGCTTTTATCAAACAATTGATCGGTGATGTTGACTTGAACGCTGAAGCATTGATTATACTCACAAATGAAATTTTTCAAACCCATGGAGAATTAATTGATTATCAGGCCAAATAATATAGCAGACATCAATATTTCATTCCAACGATAGAAATGATAATACTTGCTATATTTTTCAACGACAATCTTTTGCCTAATAACCATATCAGATTGATGATTAAGTTCAATTACCAAACAAAATGATCACAAACTTTAATTGAAGCTAAATAGTGACGTGGTTCCTCCATTCTTTATAATTCACAATGCTTCAGCGTTGACGACGTAGTGCGACGATACATTTTTAAGCCAAAGTGTGCGTCGTAGTCCCATCCTCTATATGCAGGCATCGGTTATCATGGGTTCTGCGCTCTGTTCTGGCTGCAGTTTCTGGCTCAGTTCTGACGAGGTTCGCTTGGGGATCATTGTCATTGAGTGGAATTTCTTACAAATTCGTTTTATTGAGTGGAATTTCTAATAGATTCATTTTATTGAGTGAAATTTCTACAGATTCGCATTCGGCATCATTTTGGCCCATTCAAACACTCTTAACCACAAAACATCGCATTAGACACCATATAGCCCTTTTAAATACTTTTATTGCATTCTATTCGGTACCGTATAGCCCGTCCCCAGTTAAAATTTTGAGCCGAGACCGGCGCCGGGTTTAGCCGGGCTGGTCGCGCTTTAGCAGGATGGAGCCGTGAAACAATAACCGGCCATCTATCCCTAAAACTGCACTGCGCCATGGCTGATATAGAGACAAAATTCTAGCAGCTAGGCAGGTACTCAGAAGCTAATTAGCGCTGATACGCGGCTGGCGATATCGTCTCTAAAGCGGACATTTCTGCTCTATCGCTGCTCTGTCGCGTCTCAACGCCGGCTCTGCAGCCGGCGACGGCCTGCTCTATTCCCTGCCCTAAATTTTAACTGGGTCAGAAAATATGTATGTACCTCAAATTCGACACCATATAGCTCATAAAAAACTTTTATATGCATCAAATTCGGCACCAAATATATTGCCCATTCAAACACTTTTAGTGCATCATAATCAGCACCGTATGGCCCATTTTAACACTTTAATGTGCATTAGATCCGACATCGCCTTCAAATACATTATAACTGGAGTTATCGGGTATAATGAGTACTTGCTCGGCTCCAGCACATTCCCGAAGTATATAGTAGGCTGGCATATGGTTGTGTTGGAGTTGAAGAAAATAGGCCCGTGGCCTGTTGCCGATTTATGAACTTTTTATGGTATGTTAACAGGAGATCTCAAAACTAGCCTTTTGACGAGATCTTCGCAAAATTGACGTACATTCGAATTGCCTACCGGACTTTAACTGGACTTAGGTCCGTAGGGCATATTCAGTCTGAACATAAACCCCTGCATAACATTGTCTAGTATATTCTTGACCGCGTTCGTAGTGGAAGCGTCAACGAATTCGTCAGGGAGGCTGTTCCACATGTCGCTGACGCGGAGCGAGAAGAAGTGTTGTTTCTTCCATTAATAGTTGTGTTTAATAGTTGCGTTTCCATTAATATTCGTCAGGATGCGCATCAATTATATGCCACAAATGAATTCCTGTACTTAAATTGACCTTGAGCATTATGGTGGAGCGTTTTATCACTTAAAAAGTTGAATTTGCTTACATGCAAGAGTTGAACTGCCATGCTCATTGAAAAGGTCCCTGCATTTGTTTTTTTTCAGATTATTTTATTCATGTAAAATACTCTGGTTGAGTCTTTTACTTTTTTTTCGTCTTCAAACCAACCGGTAGAAATTTTGTTCTTTCCTATTACGAAAATAGGAAAAAGCGTATGATCGAGTGTCCAAGTGATATGCGTGTAAAGACGTGCCTAAATCCAGCGCAGTTATTCTTCCATGTTCACTTGTTCAGCTGAAGCGGAACTCGACATTTCAACTCTTGCATGGAGAAAAATTTAGGCTCGAAAACTCTAAGTTATTGCGGTGATTGCAAGTTCTACCATGACCGAGTAGACTGGTAGATTAATTTAATCACGCGACAGTTTTTCCCTTGAAACTATGATGGCTCAATTATATTATCAATTAAAATCTACGTGGTGATCAGATCGTGATGGATGTGGGGGTGATGCAGCACGAGGATCACATCCACCATCAGCACACCGCGGACCAGGTGCAGCGCCACCACCCCTACCACCACCTCCACCACAGCCATGACGCCCTCGCGTTAGTTTCATACTCACTACTCGTTCTGTCTTTATTTAGCCCATGTTCATAACCATTTGATTTAGTCTTAATTTGATCACTTTACTTATTTTAATCTTACCTCAATCAATCTTTATTTAATATTACTTTTTAATCTTACTTTAATGCATCATATACAGGGTGTTTCAGAATTAAGTAACCCTTTTAATTTGTTAATGAATAAAAAACTAAGAACGTTATGAAGTTGAAACTTGTTTTATTTAAAAGAAGAACATTTTTATGGTAATATTGTATCCTAGTTTTTAAATATAATATCTCTTAAAATAAAACAAGTTTCAACTTCATAACGTTCTTAGTTTTTTATTTATTAACAAATTAAAAGGGTTACTTAATTCTGAAACACCCTGTATATGTACATCTTAATAGTGACTTGTGTTCCGTTCGATCACTGCGAAAAAACGCTTTTTTTCCTGCTCTATTGTTTGCATTATTAATAATCGTGGGTTTACAGCTTTAGTCTGCGAAATTATAGAGAACTCACTTAAAAATGGAAGAACTTATGAAATTACTAATGGACATAAATGAAAGAGCTGACATTCATTTCTGCATTATGCTCTCCCTTCTACGCAAATATTTTGGTCGCTGCATGACCTTGCAGAGCAAAGCCAGTCTTACGTTTTGAAAGATTTCCTCGCAACGGTTTTTGCGTTTTTTAGAAGATTTTTCCTTCATTCATGGAAACTCTTGGCAGACACGAATTATCAAATCAAATTTTGCCGTTCTTGGCAGGACGCCACAGGTTACCTCATGGCAGGCTTGGTCATCCTGACTTATCATATTTATCGTTTTTTTTTTTTTTGTATGGTAACGTACCAACCTCACATTCTGCTCACAGTGTTACTTGTATGTGGCGTGTAGCGTTACTTGTATGTGGCGTGTAGCGTTACTTGTATGTGGCGTGTAGCGTTACTTACTCACGTTATTTACGCCTCACGTTATATACGCCTCACGTTATTTACGCCTCACGTTATATACGCCTCACGTTATTTACGCCTCACGTTATATACGTCCCACATCATATGCGCCTCATGTCGCTGTGCAGGCACTTGGACCAGCACCACAACCACACTCCCTCCAGCATCCGCGCGCACCTGGTAAGACCACTAACTAGCTAAGCGTCGTAAGCCCTGAGTACCATAGCTCATGATAATCAATTATCATAAGCAGTTCAATAAAAATTGTTAGTTCTCTTTTTAAAAAAGTTATAATGTGCGTAACAAGACCTTATGTTCTCACTAATAAAAATATTATTTTTTCTATTTCTTTTCAATGTCATCCTGGATGCAATTGGATTTGAAAACGAGACTTTAATTGCTAGTAGCAATATAAGTTATAAGTTAAATGCATGTTTATCCCTCCGTTTACTAACATATGAGAGTTCCTGAAGACACCATGCATGCTCATGCGAGTGTGCATGAGTTTTCTTAAGTTGAAACGTTTCTCTGGGTTATGTGTAAAAACATTTGAACAGTGAAATAACTGGTCCTTCGCTGCAAACCCTGTTTAACTGAGAGAATATTATGAGCCTGGTGCTACAGATCGAACAAAATTTGCAGATTGTAGCTGCATCTCACTAACTCTGTCTAGCACCATCTGGTTGAATAATCTGATTGCTATCTCACGGAACTCATTTTATGACAATTTTAAAGCAACGAGCAATTTGATAAGCGTATCGACATTCCGTTCCTGCTGTTGTTCAGTAAAAAAAGCTTTCTCCCAAAAAACAGATGCATATAGAGCCTGCTTCATATCGTCCAACACTCCAAGAGTCAACAAAATCATTATCTCTCCTGCAGACTTGAAATAATCCGCAAATTGACTAAAACATACATATTTATTTTTAAAATGAACGGAAGTAGTCAACGAACAGAGACGTAAATGCAAGAATGAGTAACCAGTTCGAGTAGCCATGCAATTGGAATATAGGCTCTTTTTATCCATGACTGAAGGTCAAGTTTGAGTTGCCTGCAAGTTAATACAAACATTTGGCGCCTGGCAAAACATTCATTGATTGTCATCGTGTATTTAAGCCTCGCTCGTGCGCAGGACGAGCATGACGAGCACCACTACCATGCGGATACCAGCACCCAGCAGCCACAAGAAAACCATTCCCGTGAACAAGATCATTCCCATGACCACGGAGATCATTCCCATGACCATGGGGATCATTCTCACGACCATGGAGATCATTCCCACAACCATGGGGATCATTCTCACGACCACGGAGATCATTCTCACGACCACGGAGATCATTCTCACGACCACGGAGATCATTCTCACGACCATGGAGATTCCCACGAACAGGGTGACCATTCCCATGACCACGGTGATTCCCACGAACAGGGAGACCATGCCCACAATCACGGTAAACATCCACATAACCATGCAGATCATTCTCACGATCATAAAGATGCTCATGGTCACGATGATCACGCTGGACATCACCACGCTGCAGGAGAGGCGCACGAGCGCTGCGTTCATTGTTCACATCACAGGCACCATAGTCATGCCGACATGCACGTTGAGGTGATCGCTTCTGACCCTAAGCTCTCGTTGGACAATAACGATGGCCACCCCCACCACGATAACCATCACCACAACCACCTGCCCCCCGACCACATTTACCACCCAAGGAACCAAAAGGACGTCATAAAAGCAACCTGCGACCTGCGCCCCAACACAGCGCCAAGTCCGTTCAGTCTTGTCAGGGGCAATATCACCATCACGCAGAAGAAGAACGAAGAGGGGCCTGTCTACTTCGACCTCACCATCCCTGGCTTTCGAATGAACTCCGTAAGTTTTCTGGTAGTTTACGTTTAACAGGATGATTAGTCTAATTTATGTTAATCAGTAACCATAGAAGTTTATGTTAATAAACTTATAATTAATTAATTATAACTAATGTTATATAATATAATGTTATATATAATTATAATTATATAACTAATGTTAATTATAACTAATGTTATAATTTATGTTAATCAGTAACCTGGCTGAGCATAGAAGTAATATAGATAGTAAGTCTATGGGCACAGTTTGCATAAACGGTTTGAATCACAGGATACCGAGCATACACCTATAATCTTACCCTGAGTCTTGGCCATCAAAGTTTCGTTAACGGCCATTTATCAACGAAAAAATCTAACCATTTACCCCGATTGACCGAGCGTTTCCCAATATTTTTTACCACCACCGTCAGTAAAGTTTGTTAACTGTTCAAACTGGTGGTAAAAATATCGGAAACTGTTCATCAACTGTTTGTTTGATATCTGCTGATCAGCAAACTTTTGAAACTTTTCGCTATTAAAAAACGGACTTCACCTAGAGCGAGTGTAACGATGGAAGATTCTTCTTTTGCGATATATAATTGCTTTTAAAATTTTGAAATACTTTCCAGAGCCAGGGTGCTCAAATTTCTTGGTCATCACAGGGCTATGAAGTACTTTATACGTTCCACTACACAGTTCTTGAAACTCAAAGGGCATATATATCGCAAGCAATGTAATCGTGCATTGAGAATATTCTTCGCATTGATGAAAGATAACTCGAATAGAACTAATAAATTTGAATCCGTTCTTAGCAATATCATTAAATGCAAGAGCATCGGATTTGAAATTATTGAAAAAAATTTTATCGACTTAATTTAATATGTGGCCGGCCATCGGTGACTTATTGATGCGCCACCGGCGCCTACGGGTAATTATTGGCGGAAGAAGAGCTTTATGGGTATAGGGTGACCGTTGGCAGGTTATAGGTGTGATATAGGTGGTGCACGCCACCCTAAGTCCACTGTATAAATCATAGTTGCTCCACCTATGGCGCCCCATAGTTGCTCCACCTATGGCCATAAATCATAGTGGCTCCACCGATAGCACCATAAAAACATAGGTACTCCGTTCTAAATTTTTATTTGGGAGCTATTGAAGTTACTATTTAAGAATTTAATTGATTTCAACAGTTTTTTTTTCCTGTATAGCAAGTCAACTCAACAACCTGAACGTAAGTTGTTAGAAAATGCTCTCGCTAAGGGATATAAAAAATTTGAAATCATTTATTTATTTTCCAACGGCCATGGCAATATTGATGAATATCCTGAAAACTTACCTGAAAACGTCAACAAAAATGTGCAACCGAATACTTTGAAAATACTGCTTCTGTACATATCCACGTGACATAGATCCTCAAAAAAAATTTATTCATTTTTGATATTGCTACGGAAAAATTCAAAAGCCTGCTGATAGTTTTCACAACTGTCGAAGACACTATAACTGCTGTTCAATTTACTTATCCCAAAACTATCACATATTACCAAAACAAACTAAAAGAACGAATTCAAATTTATTAGTTCTATTCGAGTTACCTTTCGTCGATATGAAAAATGTTCACAGTGATTACATTGCTTGCTATATGCCCTTTGCAGAGTTTCAAGAACTGTTTAATGGACCTTGTAGCTTTGTGTTCATCAATATGGATGAGCACCTCGGCTCTGGAAAGTATTTCAACAACATGAATCAATTATATATCCCAAAGAAGTATCTTCCATCGTTACACTCGCTCTATAGGTCAAGTCCGGGTTTTTTGGTAGCGAAAAGTTTCAAAACTTTGCTGATAAGTCGTTGATTACTACTACTACTACTACTAGTCCTAGATTCTGGATCAATTGACCGATAAATCCTTGTTTCTAATAGTGCTAATATTGATGGTACTTAATAAATTATTATTAATATTATATACAATGACATTAATCATATATTATCACAATATTATTTATGATTTTGAAAGGCCACTCACTCAATTGTTGCCCCTTCCATCAGATAGGATATGTTGTTAAAGACGTTTGCAAAGTTGCTACTTTATATATTATCACTTCAGGTTAGCGAGGCTGTCTTCGGATTTCACGTTCATGAGCGACCGGTGACGAACGGCGACTGCAGCTCAGCTGGCGGTCACTTCAACCCGCACGACTCGGTGCATGGCGGCCCCACGGACGAAATTCGGTAAAGCCGCTGAGACGCTCGAATTCTAACCAATTCGATTAAACTTCGCTAAAATCCGTTTCTGAGAAAGCCGGGAGCTTGATACATTTCTCTCTAGCAGGATATTCCTTTCCGTTCTAGACTAGACTCATTTTCAAAGAGTTTGTTCAACGAATTTCAGAAGTAAAATGTCAAAACATATTCGACTTTATCGCGGGCAGTCACGTCGGGGACCTAGGCAACGTGGTAATTCCTGAGGGAGGCTTGGACGGTTACCTCATCGTGGATCATAGCGTCGCCTTCTCTGGTGAAGATAGCATCGTCGGCAAGAGCATCGTGGTGAGCCTTAAGATAGAGCTGCCGTCAGGTGCTTTGAACAATGTTATCTATGTAAAATATGAACATGTGCTCACGAATATTGTGACATCGAGCAGTTGCTTAATCTAGATGAGTAAAACATTTCAACGTTTTCGGTGAATTCTGATCATGGTCAATATTCCTAAAATTGCTGGGGATTTGTTAATTGCAGTCGTATCATGAGAAGATTGTGTCATGATCATCTCCCAGATTATACTATTTGCGTTGCTCTCTCGCAGATGCACGCAGATACAGACGACCTGGGCAGAGGTGGAGACAAAGGTAGCCAAGCGACAGGTAACGCTGGAGCACGTATCTCCTGCTGCACCATCCACCTGGTGCCCGAGCCACGCTTCAGATTTGGATGAAAATCTCAACCAGAACTCCTACAGCTCCCCACTGACAGGCAATCCCCACCCTCAAATTATTTAACAGACATCACAATAAAAAACACGATTTTTGTCGGGATCTCTGGATATTAAAAAAATATTAAATACTTGAGAATTTTTCATGAAAAATGGAAGAGGTTTCTAAAAACAAATTTAGTACTGAACTTAATGTGTCGGAGAGTTATGACTTATCAGGAAGAACGAGCACCTGACATCCATGTCACAGGGATCGCTCCTTCAGTTTCGTGTCGTCACTGAAACCGGAGCGAAATTTTACGAAAAAAACGTGTCACGGGAAAAATGTTGAAGCAGGTCTCTTAAATAAAGTTTCTTGATGTCAACTTGATGTTTAAAAATCTAAATCTGGCCTTCAAAAAAGCTGTATCGAATAAGATGTGTGTGAATTAATAAATTAATGTGTATGAATGATAATAAAACCATTTGAACAAAAACAAAACAAAAATTATCATCCAATCCTTGTGCACAACACCCTGGAGTTTTTTCCATAGGATCCAAACAATATTGTGTGCGAAATACAAAGATGTTCTGTGTTAACTCTTTTGTAAAAGCTTGTTTGTCATGGGTCTACAGAGTGATCAGTATTTATTGTACTTGACGATTTTATTGACAATTTTTAGCTAAGCAAAATATTTGTGGAAAACGGTGAAGTGTAATTTTAAAATCAATAGAATATTACTATGACTTGAAATCAATGGGAAGCTGTAGACGCTTGGGAAAGCACCTGTCAGGGGCCGTACTTTCAAAACATCGCTAAGCGTTCGACCTTCAAAACATTTTGCGCAAAGTTACGTATAATTTGCACGTAACCATGTGACAATTCAGAGGTGGCGTAAGTCGAGTTACGCATAACTTTTGAGTGAGTGAACTCAGTGAAGTAATTGGGAATCATTTAGTTAAGTATCTAGACTCTAGTATCTTACTTGTCTAGACTCAAGTATCATTGTATGGTAAATCATCTAATTTTTACTTTGAGAAATATCATTTTTTATATCTAAAGAATTATATTAGTCATCCATCTAATAATTTTTTTAGTGCACGTCCACAGAAAACGAGTCTAATTGGTGAAGCTGAACAATGAGTTCACAAAAATTTTACTCACGTTGTTCATTATATCCTATTAATCATTTAATACTTGTTTTGCTATCTTGAAACGGCTTTGGTCATTGATTTTTTAGAGTAGATGCGTCTAGGATTCTTAGAAAAATAAAAAATATCTAAGTTATTGAGCACAGAATATGACTCAACGTAAATAAAGAATGGAAGAGTTTGCAGTACTTCGTTTGGGTTCTCCATATCAGCTTAGGCACATCCATATGAGATTGATCACGCTCTCCCAGATAATACTTTATTACAGTAGCAGCAATCAGTATGTGCAAATAAGATATCGATAATGAGGAGACTTCCGACGATGAGAGCGTAACGTCAACAACCCTTAATACCAAAAATAACTCGTCCCTATAGTAAGTTCCGGTTCGCAATACAGTTCCTACCGTAATGTCGGGAGACCCCTTATTTTGTCATAACAAATTCCTCACAGAGTTTTTTATCGGCTGATACGCACCGTGGCGTGATTATTTTGTGCTAGTGCGCGGTTAGCGTACGAAAGTCGTGCGTACGAAAGTTTTGAAGGTGCCAAAAGTCGGTGTGCGTACGCCAGACATATTTTCTTGTGATCAAGTTCAAGAAGTTACGTCCACATAGAAATGCTGTGAAAGTACCTGCCCTGGGTCACAAATCACATGCCGATGCATTCAAATTGTGAGTTCTTCCGCTAGATTTTCTGGCATCAAGTAGCTCAGCAGTTGCTATTCTCTCATCACATATTTCAAGGATGATTATATTTTCAATTATAGGAGCATACAGATTCATCATAAAGTTTCAGAGATGCTGTTACATTGGACAAGTTGAAAAATATAAAATTTACGCGATTTGAAACGATGAATTATTGAAACCAACGAGCACGTTCGAGCAAGAATAAATGATGAGAAAACCAAGCATCGACCACTCAATTAAATGAATTCATTTTACAATCAATCATTACTTGCTTTAAAAAATTCATTGTCGTGCGATGGTTTTTTTCATATGAGCCAGAATGACACAACACATATCGACGATTGCATATACGAAGCTGGATGTGGTACGTCACGTCATCTTGATGAAGTTCAGAATCACTATGTACTAAATTCTCTCTCAATGATTCAAAAAGGTTTAATTCACTATTAACAGCCTATGATTATAATAAATACTTATCCAAGAAGCAAAAATATAAGACCGGTTCATATAATGATGATATAAGACCGGTTGATGATAATATAAGACCGGTTTGATAATGATATAAGACCGGTTCATATGATGGATGGTTAGCATGCATTTCGGCAGGACCCACTTTGGTTTGAAGACCTTCATCAATCGATCAAGCAGGATCCGTAGATACGAATCCTAGATCACAAAGTGTTCTAGAGAACAAATTATTCTCAGTTTGATTTAAATTGGAGAAGTAACTAGTTGGTCGAGAGTTAAGAGACAAGATTTCTATGAAAGTTTGTCTTCCTTGATGTGAACTCTTACCATGAGCACTAGGGGGACTCATCTGATGATGAAGTGAAGCATTTTCGTGGCAAACATCGCCCCCTACCACTATTCCTACCCATATGCATGCATGCTGCTGGGTAAAGTAGCCTATGAGGTTGAATGTTTACATTTATAGCACCATAAGTCCGTAACCACAGCTCAAGTCAGTATAGTCTTCACTGAGGGTACTCCCCATCATGGCCCCACCTCTACACTTACTCCGACTCTACACCCTAATAAATTTCGCCTGACCTAACTTCACGCGCTGCAGCAAGGTGGAGGTTCGGACAAGGGTAAAGGCCATGCTGAAGCGTAGCCTACATGAAGAACATATTAACTTCAACAGTGGCTGAAGATTTCTGGCGCTTTGGCTTAAAGACGCGCGAAACTGGTGTGGCTCATGGTTAACTATATAAGGTTGATCCACGAGGATTTCCGTCATTCAGTTCAGTTTTCTTGTTACGTCACTAAAATCGGGAAACGTAAACAATCCCGTCATTCCCGTGACGGATTGGTTGACTGGTTTAATCGCATTTAGGTGAATGGTTAATGCCCGTGACGTCACAGGTGAACAACAAACTACATACATAGGCAAAATGAGCTTCTCATCGGTCAACCTTATTGAGCTTGCGGTGTTGTCAATTTTCTCATCAAACTGCCAATTGTGTGAAACTGTCAATTCTATCATCAAATTGCTTAATTATTTTTTGTTCAGAAAAGTCAACCTTGGACTCTAAAATTTTTAATTTATCTGCAAAGCTAGACTCCAAAAATATCAAACTTAAATCAGTATTAGAAAACTCAACTTGTAAATCTTCTATCAGGGTTGTAATAATTGAATTGAAGGTGCAATGATCATTTCGAAGAGTTTCGATTACAGTTTTCAAAGACTCTAGGGAAATAGTTCAATAATTGGTTCTTCCTCACCATTTTTGCAAGTTGATGAAAGATTCAAATTATTTGCATAGATATTAATACTTGCCATTTTATAAAGAATAATAAATTAAAGAAATTGTAATACCCATTCTTATAAAGTTCTAATAAGATGGAATCAAATCTTTCATACTCCAGTCTTTTTAATATTTCTAAACGTAAACGTCCACAAATTACATCACCCATTTTTTGTATTTTTTAGGCAGATTAAAAAATGTTGCATCTATTCATGTACGTTTTAAACTCGTTAGGACATGTCAAACCATAACTATCAAAGTAATAGCAAGCATCATTTTCCTTATACCAACAAGTCCAATGCGTTCCAGTTCCCTCTTCCACATCAAAGATTCAAAATTCGTCGCTCCGTTTTAAAAGGTGACCTAGGCAGAGTGTCCCTCATGAAAATATCTCTGACCGCAGAAACTTTCAATACTCCTAAATAATGTTTCAAATCATGTAGTGTTAATGCTTTAATGGGTATTATTTTCTTGGTGGTCTCAGAGATTTTTTTCGCTGGAATCAATCTTAAACCAGATCCTTTTTTAGCTTCCATTGCTTCATTATGTCGTTTCGTTTCTGCTATAAGTTTATCATCAGCTTTCATCTTATTGACCGCACTAGCTCTGGCAGAAGCCCCTCCTGCCAGAGACCCAATATCTGCTTTGATTCGTGGAATATTCTGAAATTTATTTTGCAATATTTGATAAGTGATATTCTAATACTTGAAATTTAGGAGTACCAAACTGAAACGTGTTATAGCTTAAATCATTTACCGCGTGAAATTGACTTAGTAAATAATTCACACACATTTGCATCATTAATACGGCTAATATTGATTTGATACAAAATATAACTCACCTAATTCAACATACAGATGCAGTGGAATGAGTTGTTGCACCCTCAACACGAAGTTAAATGAGAAAAAGGAAGAAAATTTCATTTAAAAAAAAGATAAAAAAAGTTTGAAAATAAGTTTGAAAGAAAATCTCATCTTTTATATAGCTGACTGATACTGGGTCAAGCGTTCACTTTCATGACATGAAATCGTTAATCGTTATGCAATCATCTTATTGCATGAGTCAGATCTTGCGCGATTGCCTCCCACTTTTTAGATGAGGTGAATGACTGCTGCATCCTCAGGAAATACAGCAGCCTTGAGAACGATCGAAAGCGGTCCAATAAGAACGCTTGAGGACCGGTTTACTGAGCACCCTAAGTACCAATTACGCTCCAAAACTGCGCCTCGGTTGTGGATGTCATTAAACTGTGCCTATTAAGCTCAATTATCTTGCATGTGAAAGCGTTATTTTTTCACTCGTGTAAATGGTTTATGATAAAATACTGATACCTTTAGGGATTTAGGAGTGAGGGCTGTTCAAGAAGTGGTGAATTGAGATATATAAGTTGTAACAGAGGTTCCTCATCCTCTCCCTATTGTTAAGAGAAATGCTAGTGCGAGGTGTGAGTGCGAGTCACTACATGACTTCCCCGGCGAGAACGGAGTTCCCCAAGAAAATATCGAGATACAATGACAATCATTAAAGTAATGCAAATCGACAAAATAGATACCGTTCATCCTGGTACTGAATTTGCAGAGACTCATTGTAGCCTGTGCTGTAGCAATACATATAGGATCGATAGCAGTTGCGTCAATAGGCAGTTATGACATAAAACGAGATGTTATCGAAATACACTGAACTGACTGAAGCAATATTATTACTTCATCATGGATGAGAGGAGGTCAAAGAATGACCGACGTCAAGTTCATCTCTAGAGAGCAAAAAAAAAAGTTACC